CTCAATAGCATTTTGTTTAAGGTTACATATTTATGTGTAATGCATCTAAAAGCAATTGAAAAATGAGCATAAAAGTTAGCAAAATTATTTCTTCATGAGTACACAGAGAGTGAGATAGGATCAGATACACAGTTGGTTTAAAATCTTCACTTTTTTCTGTGTGGGTGTGTGTTTGTGGGAGGGTGTATTCATCTGTATTAATTTTATTGTTGTATTTTATCCAGTATTAATCATGAAATATCTTTGGTATATATTTAATTATTAAATAAAAACAAAACCTTCCAAATTAAAAAACTTTATTAAAAAAACATTATAGGAGGCTGGGCGCGGTGGCTCAAGCCTGTAATCCCAGCACTTTGGGAGGCCAAGACGGGTGGATCACGAGGTCAGGAGATCGAGACCATCCTGGCTAACACGGCGAAACCCCATCTCTACTAAAAAAATACAAAAACCTAGCCGGGCGAGGTGGCGGGCGCCTGTAGTCCCAGCTACTCGGGAGGCTGAGGCAGGAGAATGGCGGGAACCCGGAAGGCGGAGCTCGCAATGAGCTGAGATCGGGCCACTGCACTCCAGCCTGGGCGATAGAGCGAGACTCCGTCTCAAGAAAAAAAAAAGAAAAAAAAAAAAAAAGACATTATAATAGCACATAGCAACACAATATGATCATCATATCTATATTTGTACTTTTAAATGTTTATTTATTATAAGCCTTTTTAGACACACCAAACTTGGACGACTACTATTTCACTTGGATTTCTTGCAACAAGGGATTATGTCAAATTTGATGAACTAAATAAACAAACCACTTAAATGAAACTTTGTGGTCAATTTAGAATATTCTAGTCTTTCTGATGTCTCGCTTTTAGAAAAACTGGATCTATGCTTACAAAGAATTAAGAATTTTAGTTTGGAATAAACACAAAAATCAACTCTAAATGGGTTAAATAGTTAAACGTGTGGCTTGCAATTGTAAAATTTCCCCCACCCAGAAAATAATACTAAGAATGATTGCCTATATTTCAAATTAAAGGCACAGACAACAAAAGCAGAATTGAACAAGTGGAACTACAACAAAAAGAGTCTGCAAAGCGTGGAAATAATTCCAACCTACAGAATGGGAGAATATAATTACAAGCCAGGCATCTGAAAAAGGGATTATATCCAAAATACACACGCAACTACAACTCATTAGCAA